GAGGTGCACCACCCCAGTCGCTTGCCGCGGGCTGCTAATGATTTCTTTGTGCTGCGCGCGTGTGTGCCGATGGGTGCTCTGGCGCATGGCGCCGTGGGCGGGGGCTGGTGCGGTTTTCGTCAACCGACGGAGTTCTCTCTGGACGCTTTGCGTTTTTCTGCCTTCGTAGTGGGCGGGGCGCTCGGCAATAAAGATGTGTAGGTGTCTGCCGTGCTTTTTGTGGGCGCGTTCAACCGAATCCTCCCCCTCCACCGCCTCCTCCTCCTGGTGCTCTTCCTCCTCCTCCTCCTCTCTCTCCTCCTCTCTCCTCCTCCCTCCTCCTCCTCCTCCTCCCTCCTCTCTTCTCCTCCTCCTCCTCCTTCCTCCTCTCCTTCTCCTCTCCCTCCTCCTCCTCCTCCTCCTCCTCCTCCTCCTCCTCCTCCTCCTCCTCCTCCTCCTCCTCCTCCTCCTCCTCCTCCTCCTCCTCCTCCCCCCTCGTTTCGCCTTCTCCCAGGCGACGGCAAGTGTACGCCGACGCCGACCCTGGCGAGGCCCATCCGAGTTCGCAATGAGGTCCAAGATCGGCGCATATGCCTCCCTGGTCGAGCCAGATGGGCGGCGCAGGCCCCGATCCTGGGCCCACGATGGGCCTGGCCAGGGTCGGTGTAGGCGTGGTGTTGGCGTCGTCCTTCGACCCGCATGTTAAGGATGGGCACCCTTCCCATGGGTACCCTTGCATCCCTCCCCTTCCAGGGCTCCTTTCGGTTCCTCGGACACGATCCGGTTCGATCCCGATGGTTCCCGATTCCGGTTCGAGTCGGCTTCGGACTCCGATCTGGGTTCCGATTTCTCAACAAGGCCTTGCGACTTTGCCGATTTCAGTCGATACGTCTCCTCCCAATTTGGCTGCCGATTTCCGCCGGTTCGATCGCCGATTCGACTTGTCGATTCGATCCTGGGATTTCCCTGCCCCTCGGCCCATCTTTGGTCACTTTCGCTGGCCGCGCCCCGCTCGCAAAGGGTCGACATGGCCCTCCGTGGCCCTTGCGTCCCTATCGTGCGTCCTTTTGATGCGGGTTGACTGTATCGGCGGCGGGCGAGGGGGGCAAGTGAGCAGGAGGCCTCCTCAGAAAGCTCGGAATTCCCCTGGCCTTCTGAGAAGTTTTCTCAGCCTCCCCCGAAGACACCAACACAAGTTCTCAGAAGGTCCGAGGGCTTCTGATAAGTCCCGCCGCCTTCTGAGCAAGCCTCCTCCTTCTCGCCGCCGATATCGACTCGCCATCGGCCGAATCGGGACGGAGCCTGCAACCCTGCGGGAGAGGAGTAGAGGAGGAGGAGGAGGAGGAGGAGGAGGAGGAGGAGGAGGAGGAGGAGGAGGAGGAGGAGGAGGAGGAGGAGGAGGAGGAGGAGGAGGAGGAGGAGGAGGAGGAGGAGGAGGAGGAGGAGGAGGAGGAGGAGGCGGAGGAGGAGGAGGAGGAGGAGGAGGAGGAGGCGAGGGTGGGGGGCCCCTCTCGCTCGCCGCCGACCGTAGCCTCCCCCAGCGCGGAGGAGGCGATGGTGGGGCCCTGGACGAGGCCGGGGACGACGTGCTGGCGCTGGTCGAGCACAGCGGGGCTCAGGGCGCGCTGTCCCTCCGGGACCTGAGCCAGGATCCTCTTCGTCCGCGTCCTCGTCCTCCTCGTCCTCCTCTCACGCGTGATGAGTGTGACACACACATCACGGCGCCCTCCAGAAGCGAGCCAGAGCCCTGGAATCGTCTCCCGCAGGTTTCGGATGCCGCGAGTCGGTGCAGGACCTGCTGACGCGCCTCTGCAGAGTCGTTCGTTCGTTCGTTCTCGTCCTCCTCCTTGCCCTTCGTCCTCTCACTGCTTTCGTCCTTCTGCTATTCCGCCCCCCTGCGCCTCGTCCCCTTGTCCTCGTCCTCGTCCTCCAGCTCTTCCATCTCTTGCTCCTCCCTCCTGCCTTTTTGACGTTGCCCAGACGTGCAGCGCAAGCTTGACGCGTTCTAGTGCAGGAACACAGCCGCCGACTCAGCGTAGCGAAAAACAAATCAACCTGGCGGGCGCAGCGAGCAAAGAGCGGCAACACGAACAGAAAAGAAGAGTGCCTTGGAGTATGCGCCCGCCAGGCAGTAAGACAGCAGCGAAGCCTGGTGTTACCTTGGTGTCGCTCCCAGCTCCGTATGATGACACACCGCACCTCTCCCTTAGTTTATTCAGGCAAGCCGTGTCAAAGTAAACACCGCGTGCAGTGCGAACAAAGAGTACAAAGACAGGCGACTCTAGGAGTAGGTGCAAAGAGAGAGGGAGAGAGCGTACCCATGTCGAGCAAAATGTGTAAGGGCTGGCCACACACAGTCTGTGCTGGCTTGCCCCGTGGCGCGGTGAACAGATGTAGCACTTCTTGGGCTGCTACCTGTTCTTTTCGGTTCCTCGGGGGGGGGGGGGGGGGCGCCCTTCACCGTTCCAGCTCATAGGGGGGGGGCCCCCGTCACCATCAGCCATCCCCCACTCTCCCCCTTCTAGCACACTCTGTTGGGCAGGCGCTGCCTGGCCTGGTAACAGAGTGGTATACGTTGACTCGGGCGTGATGCCGGGCTGGAGCGTAGCTGCTTGATGAAAGTGCACGGCAACGGCCGAGAAGCGTCAGCAACCAGGCAGAAGAGAGAGGCCGTGCGGGCTACAGGGTCAAAGCGACAGTGGATCTTTCTGGTAGATGGTCCAGTATCTGTGTTCGTGGTCTGCTGGTAGGGCTTGTAGCTGTTCTTCTGGTTGTGGAAGTCTGGAGTCAATTTTGCCTGCCGAGTCGGTGTTGGAGTTGACTTCGGCACGATCGGGTGCAAGTGTGCAAGTGTGTCTGCCAGGTCGCTCCAGGGATCGTCTTCGTGCTTGTGTACGTGGTGGGAGGCTTCCGAGCGCTTCTTGTGTGTGTTTGTGTGCGCGTGTGTGTGTGTGCCTCCCGTTCTCCCACCACCACTCTGCACGGCCGTGACTGGACTTTCTCAGCACGGCGCGCTCGACTAGGTTCGTTCGCAGTCGGCACCTCCGCGTGCCGACCGCGCCCGAGTTCCCCGTGCGCCGCCGGCTTCAACTCAGGAGGGGGAGCAACACACACAGACACAATGAATCGTCGACCCCCTAGAAGATATGGGAAACTATACGGGACGTTGGAGGGAAGACAAACGCCCAGAAACTATAGGCAGATAGGGGGGAATCCTGTTGGCTGTGTGCATTGATTAGTGTGTCCCAGGGCCCCCTCATTTAAACAGTGTGTGTGTGTGTGTGTGTGTGTGGAAAATCCGGCCGCCTGAGGCCCCGCCCGCCCGCGCCCTGTCTCCCCAATTAAGGCTTCGCGCGCCCCGCCTAGCTCTTGACCGGAAGGGGCCCGCTCCCGACCCGCCGACCCCCCCCCAAAAAAAAGTGTGTGTAGAAAAGCTTCTCGGGCCCACTTGGGTCGGCAACACCCCAACATACTTATACTATATGTGCGTCGCCCTCCCAGGGGCGACGCGCACCGAGGAATCTTATAGTATATGCGTTGTGGCGGGCGCATTCTGGCCACACCGCTCGGGAAACGATATACTACAAGATGGGTATACTATATGTTCGGGTCGGACGCGCGCGTCCAAGGATGACATATAGTACTAGTACGTCTTTGTGCATCCCATTGGGGGCCCCTCTGGGGCTCGCGTGCGGCTCGCGCGGGGCTCGCGCGAGGCTCGCGCAGGGCCCCGCGGGGGGCTCGCACAGGGCCCGCCGCGCGGCGCCTCGCGCGGGGCCCCTGCGTGGGGCGTGCTTGCCGGGGGAGGGCGCGCAGGGCCCGCGCGGGGCCCGCGCGGGGCTCGCGCGCCGGGCTCGCGCGAGCCCCGTGCGGGCCCGGCGGGTCCCGACGCAGAGGCCCCGCGCGACTCCGGCGGCGCCAGGCGCAAGCCCCGCGCGTGGCTAGCACGGATCGGCGGCGAGGGGGGGGGGGAGAGTTGCTGCAGGCGGCGGGACTCCTCAGAGACCCTCGCGCCTGCTGAGAAGCTGTTTCGGCGCCTTCGGGGGAGGCTTAGAAAACTTCTCAGAAGGCCCGGGGACGTCTGAGCCTTCTGGGAAGGCCCGCCCCTTCTCCTTCTCACTTCCCCCCTCGCTCGCCGTCGACTGGACACAACGCAGGCCCCGCGCGAGCCCCGCCATGGGCCGTCGGTTTCTGGCCGCGTTGAGGCCAGCGTCGCCCCTATGGTGAGGGGGCCTTCGCAGCGCGAGATGTGGCCGTTGCCTCTCGCGCACCTGCATTCCATCATGCTTTATAAGTAAGCTTAATTTTAGCATCCTGCGAGGTGGCCGCGATTCGGCTAGCTCCCGAGTCCGTGGGTTTCGGCTCGTGCGTTCCTCACTTAGGTCCGTTTTCGGTTTCCCTGGAATTGCAGTGGTCTGGATATCAGTGGACATGGACCTACAGTGGTCCGGACCTTGCGAGTGCGGATATCAGTGGGCGGTGCCGCAAACGTTGAAATATGGAGCCGTACGTGTGTGGAGGAATCCGTGTGTGGAGCCCTGTTGCGTGCAACACATTGTGTCTTAGGTTGCGGAGCCCTATTTGTGAGGAGCCCTGCGTGTGCGGAGTATCACATGTTGAGCCCTCCGTTGGTGGAGCGCTCCGTGCGGAACCTTGCGGCGGCGACGGCCAGAACCCTGCGTGTGAACCCTACGGTGGCGACGGCCGGAAGCCTGCGTGCGGAGCCCTGCTGCAGCGTCGGCTGCAAGCTCCACGGCGGCGACGGTTGAAACGTGGCCAGCCGTGTCAGTTCGCCAAGCTTGGCCGCGCGCACGAGCCGCTGAGTGCGAGCACTGTCGGGGGAGCTCTGCCCACATGTTTTCTAGCCCGTTGCCTGGCATCGCTCGGACGTGTGCATTTTTTTTTCTCGGCGAGGACCATCGAGGACCATCCTGGACCATCGAGCAAACAAAAACACGCACGAAACCGACAAATGCACGGGAAATGGACGTCCGAGCGATGGCGAGGTTGTGCTACCCCGCAGGCGTTCAGGCTCAGCCGATTCTGCCTCAAGTCATGGTGCAGCCAGGTCCCTGACCGAGCCGGCCCTCTTGCGAAACCCGTTAAAGACTGTCGTTCTGGTTTGGTTTCGTGGACGGTTTGACCTCATCGTGGTGCTCTTGGTGCCGGGTGCGCTACGGCAGGCGGCCTGCAAGGGCCGCGCCCTCGCGCCGATGGTCACCGAAGCGCTCTTTGATGGATCTGGCTCCGCTGGCAGTGCGGTCGCCGTGGCGTCGGCTGCGGCCATAGCTCTGATTGTCGTGCTGCTCATCTGCTTCAGGCAGCGGAACATGCGGCACCTCAACCGCACCGTGGAGGTCCAGCGTTTCCTCCACCGTCTCGAGGCCATCCAGGGCGAGCTGCTCTCCGGAAGCACGAGGGACGGTCACCAGAGCCGGGGGAACGCCTCTCTCTTCTCGCGCTCCTCGCGCTCCGACGCCAGCAGGTCCAGAGAGGAGGTGTTCGACCTGGGCGAGAATGCGTGGCGTTGGAAGGTCGGCTCTGGAGGCAGCCTGAGCACCACCGACGAGTGCGAGGGCTGGGACGTGAAGGTGCTGATCTGTCTGAGCCTCGACCTGTCGGCGCGGACGTCGCAGAGTTCCAGGAAGGCGTCGGGCTTCGCAGCGGCGAGTAGGTCGCTCGGGCGCTCAACTAGTTCACTCGGGCGCTCGAATAGTTCGCTCGGGATTCCTGCGGACAAGCTGGACATTACCGCAAGCATTGGCAACAGCATACAACTACTCAAAAGTCGGTTCAACTCAGGCTCCAATCCGTCGATCGCCGCAAGCGACCGGGAGCACCTCGAGACGACCGTGTCGAACGCGCTGCTCAGCCTCAGCAGGCAGAACATGCTCGACCCGGCAGCCATACGATGCTGCATTGTGGCCGACACTGTCCGCGTACCTGGCGTCCTCAGGAGTGACTCGCCAGTGCTGGAGCAGGGCCGAAGCGACAGCCTGACCGTCGCCGACATCCTTCCGATCATGTGCGACGTGGCCGACTACTGCATCTTGGTCATAGAGGATCCCGACACGCTGACCACCACGCAGGTGGTGCAGGGTGCAGGCAGGAGGGTCTCACGCAGGAGCTCTTCGTCTCTGCTCTCAAGCGGATGGTCGTCACCAGATACCAGCAGCAGTACCGCACCATTACTTTCAGAAGGGCTTTTGGAGGACCTGCTCGTCGGGCACTCGCCATCAGACAAGGAGTTTGGACCTTCGATTTACCTTGCCGGCCTCGCAGCGTTGTCGCTCAAGTCGGACAAACAGTCGTACGTGCAGTGCGGATTCGACGACGACAGCGACACCGTGCTCCGGAGTATGGTGCCCTACAGCCATCGGTTCGAGAAGAGCCATGCCACCTTGGAGCTGGACTCCGATGTTGCAGGCGTCGAGCTGCACGGGGGCCTCCTGTGCTTGTGGGCACTGAACGTGAGCCACGGATCCTTCGGCTTTGTCCGCGATGCGGCGCCGCTCATGGCGGAGTTGGCGTATCTGAGGAACTACAGGCGGTCCTGCCTGGCGTGCACGCGGCGAGCTGGGTTCACCGTGTCCATGAGCGACGATATCCTCCAGTACTTCCAGTCATTCAGGTCGAGAATCAGCAAGAACGGATAAGCTCGGTTTCTCGGAGGTCCGTGGCGACCTCGGAGAAATTCTGTTTGTGCGTGTCTTGTTTTGTTCTCGAGCAGGCGGCACGAGCCGATCCGTGCTCACAGCCAGCTGAAGAGGGGGACGAGGACGAGTGGTCTCTTGGGCGATGCAGGGTCGTCGACGAAGAGGCGCCTCGGCAGGTCGGCCAGGGCGCAGCACATGCACGGCCTGCAGGCCTGTCTGACGCATCGGGCAATGATATCGCGGTGCTTTCACGTGTACGTCAGGAGTAAGTGCGCGGATCCCGAGTCCCTGCCGATCGCTTCGCTGTGTGATATCAGCGGGCGCTTCATTGTGCCGTCCAGCCATCCCGTTGCCCAGCAGCTGCACCTCGTCACGAGGGACGTCGACTACATGCTGGACAAGGGCGCGGGCGAAGTCCTGGATCACGTCCAGAGGTACATGACGCTCGAGGCGCTTGCAGATCGCGTCCAAGAGTTCCTGGTCGTCTACCTTCGCAAGATGAATGGCTCTGGTGACAATAATATCGCCCACAAGGATCAGGAGGGAACGAAACACGCAGACACAATGAATCGTCGACTCCCGGGAAAATATGGGAAACTGTGGGAATTGTGTGGGGGGAAGACAAGATCCCAGAACACATGAGAAACTATGGGGAGTATGGGTATTTGTGTGTATCTGTTTGTGTGTCCTTGGGCCCCTTCAGAGGAGCAGCTCGCGGCCTTCGAGCTGTACGCGGCCGCAGCAGAGGGGCAGGGCTACCTCGTCGACGTCGTCAGCGACTTCCTATGCAACAAGGCCGAGACTCGCGGCTACCAGAGGGTGACGAAGGCCCTTTCGGACCCACTGAAGGAGATCCCCAGCGATACGAACAACGAGCTGGATCTGGCCGTCGCATCGACCATGACGAGTGACATGTACAGGTGCTCTCATCTGTTCGTCAATTTCGTGGGGGCCTCGCAGCTTCCTCGGGTACGTCAGTCCGTGGTATCCTTCGATAGTAATTCTTCTACTCGAACTGCGCCTGTTGGTGAGGACACGTTGCCGAAGGCGTACTGCACGCTTGGGCTCGAGGGCGCCGAAACAGTGCTCCTTCAAACAGGTGTCGCGGCGCAAGGCTTCAATCCTGAGTGGGGGGAGACACTAGAGCTGAAGCAATACCCACCAGGCGAGACGCTCGTCTTCAACCTTTGGCATAAGAACCTCGCGTCTCAGGACTACTTTTTGGGCAGTGCGTTGTTGCCATATGCGCAGTTCGAGAGGCAGGAGTTCGCGGGGCAGATCACCCTTGTTAACACTCACGGCGGCGCCTCCCAGACGTCAGGTCAGCACGTGGGTGCCCTCACCGTGCGCGTGTCGATGACTGCCCCGAGGAAGTTTACCCGCAGGATAACTCGCCTCCGCTCCGGTGGCCCCACTTCCCAGAGCAATGGGCCGGCCAGAATATCAAGTTTTTTCTCGCATGGCTTCCGCGACATGACCCCGAGCTCTGTCAGCAGCGCCCGGGATCTGGGCTTCTTTGGCAAGACGACGTCGCCTGCCAGCTCGGAGCCGTTGCAGCCCGCCGCCGACATGCCCAGGACTCTTGCGGACCAGCTGCTGACCGCCACCGATGTGCATCGGAAGCTGGAGCGCGTGATGATCGGGCTCGTGAGGGATGCGCACGAAAGTGCCGCGAAGCAGGGAATTTTAGGCTCTGCCCATGTCGACCAGTCGCTTCACCGCAACCCGTTCTGGGAGCTGGTTGAGGCCAGCACTCTCAAAACCCTGGAGAGGCGGCTGTGGGATCAGAAAGACAAGTACCATGGCGACCTGGCGAAGTCGGGCCGGGCGGACATGGTCGACGAGGTGGACAGGGAACTGCGTTTGACGTTGGCAGACGTTTGCTTCCGCGACCATTTCGAGGAGTCGCTGACCAGGGCCGTGGCCCAGACGCGAGTCATGTGCGATAACTTTTGGATCATGCATCTGATGATGCTGGGGCTAGAAGGGTCAAGAAGTTTGGTGATATTGTCGCGAGACAGCAGCAGGAAGCTGCGGCGGAAGGCGCCCGCAGTGGTGTACACAGTTCGGCTCAAAGACAGTGGCGCCGAGGGCAGCCTTCTGGAGGTCATCCTGGTCCACAAGAAGATCACCGCGGTCGGTCAAGATAACAGGAGCGCGGTCAAGCAGATGATCTCCGAGATGCGCACCGTCAACTCGATATGTCGCACATTGCGCCTAGGCGATCCAGACCTGCACCCATCCATGTGGTGCCTCTCGCTGCGGCAGTTGCAGGATTTCGCGCAGGAGGTGGAGCAGGAGCTAGGCACGGAGGTCTACAGGGCCGCTTCGTGCGCCGAAATCGTGAAGATGTCAATCGTCAAGAAGACTTCCGCGGCTCGCACGTCATACTCTCGCATGGTCAACTGGCAGAACCTTAGGCAGATAGATGTGTTCGTGTCGCACTGCTGGGGGGAGAATTTCAGCGCCTTTGTCAACTCGGTGGTTGGAGCCCTGGAGACTCGGATCCATGCCCACGAAGTGAATTTGTGGATTTGCTGCTTCGCGCTTTTCCAGAACCCCCAGTACGAGGTGGTGAAGAAGCAGGTGGGGACTGACCTTATGGACGCCCCCTTCGAGAAGGCCCTCCGCTTCGCTCGCGAGTTCCTTGTGGTTCGAAATGCGGAGTGCGACATGTACACCCGTGCGTGGTGTGTCTTCGAGATTTTCCGGGCGCGTCAGCTGGATCTGAAGATAACCGTGACCGGCCCTGACAAGTTCACGAAGGAGAACGTCGACATTCTGAGCTGCAGGGCCACGGACACGGACGACGAGGCGATGATCAAGGGCGCCATCGTTGACGCGAACGAGGTAGACGAGCTCAACCAGGTCGTCACGGAGATCAAGGCCATGGGCACCAGGCAGGAGCACACTGGTGGCAACCAGACCGTGATGAGGGTATGATTTTGGCAGTCCTCTTCCCATTAGTTGCGGAGCTGGGAAGCCCTCGCCCCGCCGATTTCACAGGTGATTCCAGCGCGTCACCCGCTGGGGGCGACAGCGCACCACCCCCAGGCTATCACATACCACACCATCATCACCGTCACCAGCAACAACATCATCACCATCAACAACATCACCAACATCAATATCATCATCATCATCACCATCATCATCATCATCATCATCATCATCGTCATCATCATCATCTCCATAATCACCATCATCATCAGCACCATCGTCAACATCATCACCATCATCATCATCATCATCAATCTTATCACCATCACCATCACCATCACCATCACCATCACCATCACCATCACCATCACCATCACCATCACCATCGCCATCACCCCATCACCGTCACCGTCACCGTCACCATCACCGCCCTTGCCACCACCATCGCCGTCGCCATCGCCATCGCCCTCACCACCCTTGCCATCACCACCACCCATGTGACGTCGTCGCCGACGTTGCCATCCACACCAGCACCAGCGTTAGCACCAGCACCAGTACCAACGCCATCACCACCACCGGCACCGTCACCACCACCTGCGATGAGGGCTAGCGTCCCCGATCGAGGCGGGGAAGGAGGAGGCCAGCAGCGGCGCGACGCCGCGGCCACGAGCGCCGCGCGCACGCGGCTTCTGGGCCAGCTACCGCTCAAGGAGACGCGTGTGCCCGGAGGCTTCGACCGCCCCTGCCGCCGACGAGGCCCCGCGACCGAAGGCGTGCAGTGCCTGCCCCTTGGTTTGGGTGCAGCTCTTGGGAGGCCACTCCGGGTTTGCAGTCACACGGGGGGGGTCACAGCCTTCCCAGACGAGCAGTTTTCAGTTCCCCCCTAGACCAGCCGTGTAAGGGCGGCTTTGTGGCCCGAAGCCCTCTGAGGCAGCTCAAATCGGACCCCCTCCCAAATCAGACCACCCCCATGTTCAGACCACCTCCCATCAGCGCCTGCGCTGATACATCCGTGGTCGAAAACGTCGAAAACCTGCCCAATCAGACATTGCACAATCTTGCTTAATCTGGCGTCTGGGCCTATTCCAGCCGAGTCTGGCTTAATGACCCGTTGCTCGTGCTTCATCGCCTTTGATCATTCATACCAAGACCTCCCAGGAGCTGTTCCCTAACCTGGCGGTGTGGTGGCCACAGCGTGTTGTGGGTAATTGGGGGTTCGGGGACATCGCACGGTTTTGGGACTTGGGTCGTTCTCTGGGGATGTCTCGGGCGACTGGGGCTTCCAGGGTCCCAAAACCGTGCGGGGACGGACCGCGCGGTGAGTTCTTGCGGTGTTTCGAGGTCGCCGCACGGTCTGTCATGCGTCGTCGATCTCCGGCATAGGATTAGTACGGTGCACAGTTTTCCGACCCTCATAGCCGAAAGACTGTGCACCGTACCGTTTTGTAGCGAGGCCTAAAGGGAGTCCAACGTCCAAACATTGCACGGTGCATGATGGCAATTTTCGTATTTCAACATGGCTACCCTTGGACAGACCAGGTTTCGCTAGGGACCGGTTTTTACCTTCAATGGCCGAAGCCCTTCCGGAACCCTCCGGGAACCCTCCCGGAAGGGCCCTGGGAGGCTTTTGGGAGGGTTCCTTGAGCGTTTCGGGACGGTTTCGGTCGCCCAGGGGAGGAGGAGGAGGAGGAGGAGGAGGAGGAGGAGGAGGAGGAGGAGGAGGAGGAGGAGGAGGAGGAGGAGGAGGAGGAGGAGGAGGAGGAGGAGGAGGAGGAGGAGGAGGAGGAGGAGGAGGAGGAGGAGGGAGGAGGAAGGAGGAAGGAGGAAGAGGAGGAGGAGGAAGGAGGAAGGAGGAAGGAGGAAGGAAGGAGGAGGAGGAGGAGGAGGAGGAGGAGGAGGAGGAGGAGGAGGAGGAGGAGGAGGAGGAGTTTTAAACCCGCGTGCTCAGGCGTGCGCATGGGTGCCAGGGGTCTCGGCACCCAGGCCAGGCTCGCTCCGCGCTCGCCCGTGGCTGGGTGGGCCCTCGGCCTCAGTACGCACCCTCTTTGCCTCGCCCGTCGCGGCAGACTCCCCGAGTCGCAGCTCCCATCGGGCGGCGGCAGACTTGTGGTCAGCGTTGCTCGCCGCTGGCTCAGAGCTCGAGGAGCAGCCTGATGGACGGCCGCTGCCGCTCCTCCGCTCGTCGCTCCTCCAGGGACCGCTCGTGCTGCGGCTCCCTGGGCCCGTGGGACTGCTCGGGCGTCTCGTTGCGCACCCCCGCAGGGCGGCTGGCTGCCATGGGCTCTGGGCCCCCGCTCGGCTTCCAGGCTGACGCCCTGCGCGCTGGCGTTCTGCTCGCCTGCCTCTGGCGTGCGCCGCGGTGGCCTAACCCCTCGCCACGCTGGGGGCCGCTGCGGCCTAACCCATCGCCGCGCTGGGGGTTCTTGGTTGCCCAACTCCTCGCCGCGCTGAGGCCCACTGCGTTCTAAGCCCTCACCGCGCTGGGGTACTCCGTGGCCTAACCCCTCGCCACGCAGGGGGCCGCTGCGGTCTAACCCCTCACCGCGCTGGGGTCCGTGGTGGCCTAACACCTCGCCACGCTGGGGTCCGCTGTGGCCTAACCCCTCGCCACGCTGGGGACCGCAGTGGCCTAACCCCTCGCCACGCTGGGGTGCGGTGCGGCCTAACCCCTCGCCGCGCTGGGGTCCTGCTCCTTCTTCGTCGTGGTCGTCTTCGGGTGGCGCCACTCCCAGAACCTTTTCAGCCATCTTCCTGCGCTTCTCTGCCTCGTGTGGGTCCTGCAGCTGGATTTGCCTGCGTGCTGCGCCGCTGTTGAGCCAGGCCAAGCGACAGATCTCCTCCGCCACTCTGCGCTGGCTGCGCAGGCGGCTTGGGCCTGGGATGTCACTGAAGAGCCGCTGGTAGTTGCCCGTCTGCAGCGCCTTGAGGACATGGGGAACGCATGCCGCCTGCCATGACAGCCAGCCCTGCTCGCCTGCCTGTTGGATCCAGCATCCCGCAAGAGACTGCATAAGCTGTTCCAGTCGGTTTCTTTCGAGCCAGGCCAGCTCTAGCTCTGGGTCCTGGTCGTCGTCACCTCGGTGCTGGCGGAGCCTCGGATGCTGCATGCCTGTTTCTTTGGCCTCCTGCACGGATTTCATCAGGTCTGGCCCTGACGGCTTGGTGAACTGCGCCGCCCTTTGCACCGTCGCACTCATCTGGACCATGGTCGTGGCGTCGTTGTGCTGATCGGGCCCTGGGATAGTGTCCATTTCCTGATCCCTGCCCTCGCCCTCCAACTCTGGCACCTCCCTGTCTGGGAGGGAAGGGTTGTCGTCAGGGTTCTCAGGTGTCCAAGCTCGGTGCCCTTCCGTCGTGCTGGGGAGGGGCCTGCGCTCGCTGCGGGGGGCGCTGTGGGCCCGTTTTCCAAAGACGGCGCGACTCATGAGCCACTTGGACCCCCTTTGGGGGTCCACCAAAGCTCAACTTCACGAGGTCACACCTGCGAGCACGATTCTCGCCGCACCTCGCGCACATCCATCTTCCCTTGCGCCTGCGCGCTAGGTGACCATTCTCATCACTTAGGGTGAGACCGATCGGCCTCACAGCATACTCCCTCTGCTCAACGTCTGCCCATTTTCCTCTCGAGTAGCGGCGCAGGATGCGCAGCACAGTTTTCAGTGTCAACGCTGCCGCCTGCTCGCGCACCTGACGAGCTCGCTCTTGCGGCACATCACGTGGCTGCATGGGCGCACCGCTCTTCGCGTAGAAGCCCACTTGCTTGTTCCGTGCCGGTGCGCCATGGGAATCTGCAGCTCGATCGCTGGTGTCTGTGACAGGTGCGAAGGAACCCACTCGCTGTCAATCTCATCAGCTTCGACATCTTCGACTGCCTTCCAGAACTGCAGCCCATACTTCAGCATACTGGTGATCTGAATGAGTGCCGTGGGGGTAGCCATCTTGCCAGCCTAAGTAGAGCTCCTTAAGTCCGTGATTCGGTGAAGCCGTCCTTGAGACTCGTGAAGGACTGCTTGCCTGGCCGCATACAACTCTGCTGCGCCTGAAGTCTACCACGGGAACGGGACAGAGCCAGAAGCCGCTGCTATAACATTCCCAACTGCATCAATCATACAGAAAGCCCAACCGCCACGAGCAGCTCTGATCTCGCACTGCGGAAAGGTACAGCTGCCATCAACACACACACACATCACCATTGATGAGACGAGAAACTGTGCACACATGCCATCGGATGGCGTGGTGCTCCATTGCACCTGGTAGCTGGAAAAGCGGATCTGGAAAGAATCTCTTGCACAGCATCATCGTGCACGGGTGATTTTGTCCGTATTTGTTGCGCCCTCACAACATCAATTTTCTCTCATATCCATTCCAGTCTTGTCGTTCAGCGAGGTGCCAACCACAGCGAAAGCACCTGTGCAAGTCAGTGCCCTCCAAATTGCACATATAGGTGCCTCCGTCGCCTGAACTGCATGCTGTCTCACCTGATTGAAGAAGCCACCAGACAGCCACGTACGAAGTTAGCCTGCATCTTTGAACTTTCCCTGCCTCCGAAGTTCAGCTAACTCTTTTATAGCTGGCTCCAGAATAGGTGGCCCGTGAGCCCTTCCATCCCACGACTGCCTGGAACCGCCTCCAGAAGACGCCGCCTGGTGGAAATGTTGATCAACTTCCTCAGCGTGCCCTCCCCGATGTCGTCCAAGTCAACTTTCGAGCCGCGCTCTGTGAACCAACTATTCCAACGCTCAGCTCTCCATCCCATCCGTCGAAGAGTCATGAGTACTGTTCCCGCTGGTCCTTGCACTGACTGCCACGAACGTGTATGGTCTGTGCGTGTGCATGAATGCTAGGGCCATCGCCTTGGGCTTGACCCACTGCTCCCACTTCGCTTTGAGCCAATACGCCAACGGTTACTCGTCTGTGATGAACGTAGGGTCTGACCTGGGACAATGTGATCACAGAAACTCCATCGTTCTGCTTCTTCCCCTAGCTGAGCCAAACTGTGCGTGTCCTGATAGAGATCGAATCTTCTGCAGCTGTGTGTCACTCATGCCCTGCACCTTCGCTATGTAGCCAACCGAAGCCAGGCCACCAGAGCGAAACAACTTGCCCATCTGTCTGCCTCCTTGGGCCAACCTCCGAAAACGTGCCGCTCTGCGCCCAACAGCTGCAACTCGACTACGATGAGTGGGTACTCGCGCCCCACCTCCCATGCGTCGATCATGTCCCAGTTGTCGGACAACTCGTGCTCGTCGGACGGCCCAGTCACTCAGAGCCATTTCAACCTCCTTTGCCATTCTTGCCATTCTCGGTGTCGTTGCAATGGCATGTCTTATGCTCGGGCTCAACTACAGGCCGAGGAGCCTGCACAAAAGCTTGACCGCCGCGACGATGATCCGAACTGCATCCTTTTTCCGTGCCCGACGCTTGCAGGCTGCCGTCGTTCACGTCCACGCTGATCGTCGGAAAGGGCTACAGCGTGTGCACCTGGTCGTAGGCGTCCCACGTGGAGGGGATCGTCATGGTGGCCGCGTCCGAGCACCGCGCTATGACCCCCCCGGTTCGAGCAGGTGAACCTGGAGGCTATTTTGCCAAACTTGAGGCTCCTTCTACCCCGCGTAGGTCTCGATGAGCATGGCACGTCTCCTCTTTGGAAACTCGTGCCGACAACCTATCGACAACACAGAGTAGCGTGTGCACTCTTCTCGAGGGCGTTCTTCAAGTCCAGCATCACTGTGACCGAGTGCCTGACGAGTGCTCTGCCTGCCTAGGCCAGGGCAGACTGCGGCCACACTGCTCTCTCGGAGCTTTTGCCAGCTGTCGCATAATGCTACGGTCGAACACGCTCTCGAAGCCAATCTCGCTGATCATGCCGTCGACACCTGAGGAGGAGGAGGAGGACGAGGAGGAGGAGGAGGATGAGGACGAGGGCGGAGGAGGAGGATGAGGAGGAGGAGGCGGAGGCGGAGGAGGAGGAGGAGCAGGAGGCGGAGGCGGAGGCGGAGGCGGCGACGGAGGCGGATGACGATGATGATGATGATGTTGCTGTTGCTGCTGATGATGATGATGATGCCGATGCCGATGATGATGCCGATGCTGATGTTGATGATGCTGATGAGGCTGATGATGATGCTGATGGTGGTGGTGGTGATGATGATGCTGTTGATGATGATGGTGCTGCTGATGATGATGCTGATGATGACGACGATGACGATGTTGCTGTTGATGATGATGATGATGATGCTGATGATGATGATGAGGATGCTGATGATGCTGCTGATGACGATGATGACCATGATGATGCTGATGATGATGATGATGATGATGATGATGATGATGATGATGATGATGATGATGATGATGATGATGATGATGATGATGCTGATGATGATGATGATGATGATGATGATGATGATGATGATGATGATGACGATGATGATGATGATGATGATGATGATGATGATGCTGATGTTGATGCTGATGATGATGATGATGCTGCTGATGCTGATGCTGCTGATGATGATGATGATGATGATGATGATGATGATGATGATGATGATGATGATGATGATGTTGTTGTTGTTGATGATGCTGATGCTGCTGATGATGATGCTGATGATGATGCTGCTGCTGTTGATGATGGTGATGATGGCGGTGATGATGTTGATGCTGAGGAGGAGGAGGATGAGGAGGAGGAGGAGGAGGAGGAGGAGGTGGATGAGGAGGAGAAGGGGAAGGAGGAGGAGAAGCAGGAGGCGGCGGAGGCGGCGGAGGAGGAGGAGGAGGATGAGGAGGAGGAGGAGGGAGGAGGAGGAGGAGGAGGAGGAGGAGGAGGATGAGGAGGAGGCCGATGCGGAGGCGGAGGCGGAGGCGGAGGCGGAGGCGGATGCGGAGGTGGAGGCGGAGGAGGAGAGGAGGAGGAGGAGGAGGGCGGAGGAGGAGGAGGCGGAAGAGGAAGAGGAGGAGGAGGAGGAGGAGGAGGAGGAGGAGGAGGAGGAGGAATGAGGAGGAGGAGGAGGAGGAGGAGGAGGAGGGGGGGGGGAGGACGGGGGAAGGGGGAAGGAGAACGAAAGGACGAGGGATGAGGGCGGAGGGAGGAGGGATGATGGAGGAGGGAGGAGGGATGAGGAGGGAGGAGGAGGAGGAGGAGGAGGGAGGACGAGGGAGGATGAGGGAGGAGGGAGGAGGAGGAGGTGGATGATGATGATGATGATGATGCTGATGAGGAGGAGGAGGAGGAGCAGGAGGAGGAGGAGGGGAACGAAGCAGAAGAAGACGACGAATCCGACGACGACGACTACTACGAAGAAGATGAACACGACGACGTCTCATATTAATACTTACTTTGGAAGGAGTAATAAACTACCATCATACATAATCAGAAGACGAAGCAGCATACTTATAGGACGGATAATTCGGATAAGCATAATTTTATTACGAAGGCGAATGCTAGCACTAATAATACTGATAGTACGAAAAAAATATGACAAACCATAATGCGAAGATGACTACGACGAATACGACGGAGGCGAATACTACCAAACATAAGGTAAGGATGATGATGATGAGGAGGAGGAGGAATATGATGATGTTGATGATGATGATGAGGAGGAGGAGGATGAGGAGGAGGAGGCGGCGGAGGAGGAGGAGGATGAGGAGGAGGAAGAGGAGGAGGAGGAGGAAGAGGAGGAGGTGGAGGAGGAGGAGGCGGAGGAGGAGGAGGCGGAAGAGGAAGAGGAGGAGGTGGAGGAGGAGGAGGAGGAGGAGGAAGAGGAGGACGTGCGAAGCACCGATAGAGTGCCCGAGTATGGCCCCAGGCGGCCCTGCGCTGCCACACCATGCCAGCCTCAAATCGCGCCTCCCGTCGCAGCACGGCTGGCCTCGTAGTCTGTCGTTTCTCATGATGGGGGGCTGGTTCATTATGCTGCGCCACGCGCTACACTGCAAGCTGGCTAGAACCTGAGTGCGCGCGCGGGCGCAGCGCGAACGATGCTTGTGGTAGGTGATATCGGTCGTGCTTGATGTGCTATGTTTTTGTATTGGGTCTTGAGCTGGCCGCTAATGATGACAACTTGGAGGGTTAGGGGAGGAGGGAATGAGCATACAGCTGACCCCCTGGGTTCAAAAACTGACTAGCTGCGCTGCGCGTTTGAAAACGAAGGCGCCCGGAGAGCCGTCTCGATGGGCGGACGCCGAATGTGGTGCGATGACAAGACCAGGCCGCTCAACAGTAGAGCGGGCGCTGTGCGTTGACCGTGGATGCTGCGTGCGTGAAGCCTGTGTCCATGGCATGCCATGCCCTTCTCCTTGGTATTTGCGTTCGAGCGCGGTGCGCGCGTCGATCGCCTGTCGGTGCGATCGCAGTTTCTGACGTTCCTACTTCAGTTTCACAGTAGCAGCCACTGGCGCTCGGAGAGCGCCGTTGTACTGGCCTTCTGCTCATCTCGCTTGCTCGTGGTCCCAGAACAGGGTCGGTACAAGACCTCTGGTGCTCCTGCTCCTGAGTGGATGAGGGCGCCAACTACACATCTACGCCGAGCCTGGTCGGGCCGATCTTGGTCTTGGGGTCGGTGTATATTTATAGATATTTGCCTCCCTGGCCAATCCAGGGGGGCGTCCCCGAAGGACGCTCGTGCTTGTCATCGCGGCAAAACCTCGGAGGCATTTCCTCACAGACGTATGCAAGGGAGAAAGGGATAACGGGGAAGAGGAGGAATAAGAATGGGGGCCAGCGGTCGGATAATGTAGCTGAGTGCGGCGGTGCCTGATCGCCAGCCTGTACGTGACTTCTTTTTCGACGGTATCATTTTGCAGACTATGCACGCGTGCGGCCTTGAGTGCATCATTTGATTTGGCGTCACGTCTTTCATGTGTCCTGATGTTGTCACCCAAGTTGCGGGAATGTTGATTTGTTCCAATCTCTAAGATTGAAGCGGCACCGCTCATTAGCGAAATAAGAAGCTAGTCAAGCATTGTAATGTCATGAAAAATGCAGTCACACATGTTTATTATCTCAGTCTTCCTACCGACACTTCTTCCTCTTATTCTCCTCATCCTCCCCTGCCTCCTCCTCCTCCTCCTGACCTCTCTTCTATCTCTTCCCCCTGCAGGTGGCGCAACAGGTGTGAGTTCGTATCCTTGCTTGTTCGAGTTGTGAAGCCAGCCAGGAGGAGTGGCCAGCCTCTAACGAAGAGCGCGGTATGCAAACTCGCCTGGAATGGCCGCCGCCAGGAGGGAGAGGCGGGGCCGCCGCCGCGCCGCCGACAAGCCAAGGGACAGGCAGGACAGGAGGAGGAGGAGGATGAGGAGGAGGAGGAGGAATTGGAAGCGGAAGCGGAAGCGGAAGCGGAAGAGGAAGATGACAGGGCAGGGACGGTCGGGGGCGGGGGGTCAAGCGGTGAGTCCTGGAGCGGATCCAGGGTGGCCAGGCCCGTGGCGCAGGTGACACCCGGCAGTCGAGCCCAGACGGACCGATCCGGGCGGGTTGCCAAAGGCATGGGACTTGGCTGTCGCCCGTGGTTGCTGCAGCCTCCTCCTGCTGAGGCCTGCTCCCTCCTCCTCGATCTCTTTTCCTTATAACTAGGTTCTCCCTGTCGCACCCTGAGGCCAGTTTTTGGGGCGGGCCGGGCGTTTCGCCTGAGACTTCGTCACCATTTATGACCCTGAAGCTTCTTGGCAGCAGTTTCACAGATGAAGGGCGGGTCGTTTTCAAAATGTGGCTCTCGCCTCAGCGCCGCGCACATTCGTTTTAGACATGTGCAAGAGTTTGACGGATCGAGAGCAGTTCTTTTTCAACATGTGGCTCCCGTCTTAGCGCCGCGCACATTCGTTAATAGAGTTTACACGGGTTTCACGGGTTCCCATGATCAAAGTACCAGAAACTTTGTTCATAAAGGGTTCAGGATTATGACGGTGCGACAGTTACGTTCGCTCGCGGTGTTGAAGTTCCACGAGTGGCGTTCTGGCATTATTCAGGAGCGTCAAAACGCAACAGGCAGGTTGATCCGTGGAGTTGGAATCCCGAGAACAATTTTTTGGCATGCTTCAGGGCCTTCAAACGGTTGTCTTCCAACGAGGCAGTTCCCTCAATGGAAATCGACCGTTGTAGAGGCCTATGAAGAGGGAGCTTGGAGGGAGGGTTCATTCCAACATCAATGACGACTCTTGGATTTTCACTGGTCCCTCTTCCTCTTCATCCTTCTAATCCTCCTCCTCCTCTTCCTTCTCCTCCTCTTCTTCCACCTCTTCCGTTCCTCCAATCCGTCTCCGAATTTTCTCCTCCTCCCCCTCCCCTCTTCCTCCCCTTCTCCTCCTACTCCACTGCTCTCCGCATCCCCTCGTTCGCCTCTATCCGATTGCCGTCCGCGCATGGGGCAGCAGGCTTCTCAGACGTCCGACCTGGTGCTTCTTTCCGCAACGTGGTTCCGCAGAGGTCCTGGTCGTCGTCGTCCTTGTCGTCGTCGTCGTCGTCGTCGTCGTCCTTGTCGTCGTCGTCGTCGTCGTCGTCGTCGTCCTTGTCGTCGTCGTCGTCGTCGTCCTTTTCGTCGTCGTCGTCTTCGTCGTCCTTGTCGTCGTCGTCGTAATCGTCGTCGTCGTCGTCGTCCTTCTCGTCGTCGTCGTCGTCCTTATCGTCGTCGTCTTCCTTGTCGTCGTCGTCGTCCTTGTCGTCGTCGTCGTCGTTGTCGTCGTCGTCGTCCTTCTCGTCGTCGTCGTCGTCCTTCTCGTCGTCGTCGTCGTCCTCGTCGTCGTCGTCGTCGTCGTCGTCGTCCTTGTCGTCGTCGTCGTCTTTGTCGTCGTCGTCGTCGTCGTCCTTCTTGTCGTCGTCGTCGTCCTTGTCGTCGTCGTCGTCGTCGTTGTCGTCGTCGTCGTAACCCTTGTCGTCGTCGTCGTCGTCGTCGTCGTCGTCGTCGTCGTCCCCTCCTGGCGTGGTGCGAGCTTCGCATCTCGTCTGGCCAGTGGTCTGGGTCGTCGTCGTCGTCGTCGTCGCGTCGTCGTCGTCCTCGTCCTCGTCCTCGTCGTCGTCATCGTCGTTGTCGTCCTTGTCGTCGTCATCCTTCTCGTCGTTCTCGTCGTCGTCGTCGTCGTCCTTGTCGTCGTCGTCGTGTCTCGTCGTCGTCGTCGTCCGTCGTCGTCGTCGTCCTTGTCGTCGTCGTCGTCGTCGTCCCGTCGTCGTTGTCGTCGTTGTCGTCGTCGTCGTCGTCCGTCGTCGTCGTCGTCGTCCTCGTCGTCGTCGTCGTCCTTGTCGTCGTCGTCGTCCGTCGTCGTCGTCGTCGTCCTTGTCGTCGTCGTCGTCGTCGTCCTTGTCGTCGTCGTCGTCCCCTCCTGGCGTGGTGCGAGCTTCGCACCTCGTCTGGCCAGTGGTCTGGGTCGTCGTCGTCGTCGTCGTCCTCGTCCTCGTCGTCGTCGTCGTCGTTGTCGTCCTGGTCGTCGTCATCCTTCTCGTCGTTCTCGTCGTCGTCGTCGTCGTCCTTGTCGTCGTCGTCGTCGTCGTCGTCGTCGTCGTCGTCGTCGTCGTCCTTCTCGTCGTCGTCGTCGTCGTCGTCCTTGTCGTCGTCGTCATCGTCGTCGTCGTCGTCCTTGGCGTCTTCGTCGTCGTCGTCGTCGTCGTCGTCGTCGTCGTCCCTTCCTGGCGCGGTGCGAGCTTCGCACCTCGCCTGGCCAAAGGTCTGGGTCTAGTCTTCGAGGGCGCAGGGTACGTATCTCTGGCCTTCCGAGGATCTTTCTCCGCCGCCCTCCCTGAGGCCGAGTGGCTTCCTCTGTCAGAAGGTGGGGGGGCCCTGCGAGGCCCCGCCTTCTTCTGAGAGGAGGCCTGCCTCCGATCGGCTTCCTTCTCCCAGGCGATGACGGCTGTTGCCTGGGGGGGAGGGCCCCCCTCTGCCTTCCTCCTCCTCCCTCCTCCTCCCTCCTGCCTCCCTCCTCCCTCCGTCCTCCTCCCTCCTCCCTCCTCCCTCCTTCGTCATCCCTCCTCTCTCCTCCCTCCTCCTCCCTCCTCCTCTATCCTCCTCCCTGACCGCCCACGCCACTTTCCGCGCCGGCGCCGCCCCGGAATGCGGAAGAGCAGCCAGCTCGAAGAGCAGATGCCTGCAGGGATCTGCTGCGGCAGAGCGCGCGCCTCCTGTGCCGGAAGCCTGGCCTCGGAGGCCCCGGGGCTTGGCATCGCTCGGACGTGTGCATTGTTCCTTCGGCGAGGACCATCGAGGAGCATCCTTGATCATTTGGCAAAAAAACCACGCACGAAACCGAACAAAAACACAGGGAATGGATGTCCGAGCGATGCCCAGGGGGCCGCAGCACGCGCCCGGGGCACACCAAGTGCCCAATCCCCTCCCGGAGCCTCCCCGGGGCGTCCCCGGAGCCTCCGCGGAGCCTTCCCCGAAGCCCCAGGACCCACAGTAGAAATTCAGGGCGTCCCAGGCGGCTCCAGACTGCTCCAGGACGGCCCAAGATGGCATTAAGACGGCCCAGGAGGCTCCGAAGACGCCCCGAGATGGCTCCAAGAGAACCTCCCCGAAGGCCCCGAGCGGCAAAAATCGTTTCTCCCCCCTCCGGAAAACGTATACGTTTGGCATCACTTTTTTTTGTTTGTCCCACTAGCGTCCCATGCCGTTCCCAGAGGCCTCCAAGAGTGCTCCAAGGCCGCCGAAGAGACCCCAAGAGGGCCCCAAGAAACCCACCGTAGCCATTTTGGCTCAAGCAATTTTGACTCGAGTCTTATGCGATCTGCAGTAGGCAATTCGGATATACAATTTCCTCTTTCGGCGAGGCCCTATGGCGTCGAAGAAGTCGCCGAGCGACTTTATAAAACAGGTCCTCGGAAGGCCGGTCATAGTGAAGCTGAACAACGGCACTGATTACCGTGGTATTCTTGCTTGCCTGGATGGTTATATGAACATCGCCATGGAAGAGACCGAGGAGTACGTTGACGGAGAGCTTAAAAACAAATACGGGGACGCATTCATCCGCGGCAACAACGTGCTTTACATCTCTGCGCAGAACCGAAAACGGCAAGCGTGAGACTGTCAGGTCCTAGTTGTCTCTGTTCTTCGCGCCGACGGTGCAGCTGAAGGGCTGGAGCTTCGGCTGCCCTGCGCGTGAAGGAATCAAGTTGGCCGATGACGCGGACTGAGCTGTGTGCGGCGTCCCTTTCTTTTGACGCGCGCTTCCCCTGCGACCTTCGCCTGCAGCGGCGGACGTGTCCAGCCGCGCTGCCGTGCGGCTCCGCCCCTTTGCGCCGGGGTGCGTGCCCGGCGGAGGTGGTGGGTCGTCGGGATCCTGCGCCCCGTGTGGTGGCGCGGTGGCTGCAGGGAAGGGGCGGTGGTAGTGGCCGGTTGGGCCCATGGAGTGTTGCACCCGCGGCCTTGATTCGTCTCGCTCCGTATCGAAACTTTCCCCCCCCCCCCCCTCCCCCCTTTCCGAACTCTTTCGCTTGCTCGCAGGCGGCTCGGGAACCGCGGAGGTCTCTCCGACCTGCTGCGAGAATCTTGGCCGATCCCGTCGTTGCCGCTGCCTGCCGCGCGGCCGAGGGCGGCGCCGACGTGTGCCTCGCGCGCGTCCTGGCTTGGGGGGTGGGGTATAAGTGCACCCCAGAGGTCTCTGCCCGTGAGATACCTCGCCCCAATCACCGGCCCAATCTCCCCTCTGCCATCATCTCTCTCTCTCTCTCTCTCCTCTGGGCATCCTTGAGCGCCTGCAGCTT